AATTGAATTGACTTCTCAATACATATTAATGTAATAATTAATTTTTTTCCATCATACAGGAGTGGTATGATTTTAGGAGCAACCTTGTTCGCTATGACTACAGACCTTTAAGTCTGGATTTGATCCAGCAGTTTGGATTCAACCCATTGAGTGAAGTGCATGACTTCAACACAGGTACCGTATGAATATTCCTGATTTGATCTCTTGCCTTTTCATAAAAAAAATTGAAATTAGGATTAGTAACATTTGCACAATTTAGAAAAGATGGGAATTTGTGGTAAATTTTATTAACAATGTCCATAATGTCTGTCATTATCAATCAGTGTTTAGTTAATTACTCTACTTAACAACTCTTTAACTACTCAGAAGGTATGGGGATTAAGATCGTAAGTACCACTGAACAGTTCAGTTTGTTATACACAGAGAAAACTCAAAAAGTAAGTTGATAAGCATATCAGTTATGCTCTTTTGTTATTGTTTTCTGAATTGCCATTTCATTGTTTTTTTTTCTTTTTTTGTGTGTGTCAAGGCGTAAGGTATGTGATAGACACATTCCAAGGTAACTGCTCGTACTTCCCACTCCAAACAGTTGGCCTTGACATTACCAAGGTCAGTCCCACAGAAGTACGGATCCGGACGCCTCAGGAGTTCTTCAACTATAACAATGTCTCAGTGCCCTATACCTACACTGGAGTGGTAAGTTCAAAAACAAATCATTTTCATGGACATTTTGAACAAGTGATATAAAATTGGTATTTAAAATTTTGTCAGTTTGTGCATTAACTTGTGACATTAACTATTCTTAGAAGATAGTTTTGATCATTGAAGAGGGCAGGACATTTTGCCTATTCTGGTGCTGATCTGGTATTGAAAAGTGCTGAATATTTTGCTGAATTTTAGTGAATAGTCATTAAACTCTTTATTTTTAAAATTGTATAATGCACTAAATGAATTCATCAAATATATATAATTTAGATGATAAAATAAAGATAATTGTTTTTGTCACCAGAGAAAAGTCCGTGACATTCCAGCAGATGTGTGGATTGCTCAGAGGAAAGGATATCCTGGCATCTGTGATGACTGCACCACTGTGTGGGAGTGGTATTTTGCTGTTGTAAGTTATGACAGATCTTCTTTATATGGTGATATTCAGAACAGTAGAGATCCTGGGCCCTGTATCTCGAAAGCATCGCGTATTGCGAATAGCAATATCACATAGAGGCTACAATGTATTATATATGGCGAGTATCACTATGGGCGAATTGTGGAATCGAGACGCTTGCGCACGTTCGCAATGTGCGATGCTTTTGAGATACGGGGCCCTGGTGTCATCCTGACAATATTTTGTTTCTGCTTTAAAACTTATTTTTGACCAAAACAATGATAAGTTGTTAAAAATTTTTTTTTCAAAATTGGAATTTTCTCTAGCATTTTTAACGCAGACTTTGCTAGTATATAATCACATTAAAAGATTGAAAATTAAAAGATTGTTTGGAATGTATAAAGAATGTATATAAAAGAAAAAAAATGGAGGTAAGATGACAGCAAGAATATGACAGCAAAACATATAAACATCTCTCATGAGAACAATGAATTCAAGGTGTAATAAAATTAAAATAAAAAATTAATTTTTCCAAAAGTTGTAGTCTACAACTGCTATTTTTGTTATCAATTCATGCTGCTCTTACACAAAGAATGATCATATACATGCTGTCTTCTCACCTGTATATTGTTTAATATTTGATATTTAATTTTCAGTCCAACTGGACCCAGTATAGTGGGATGGTCAGGGAGGGAGGTGAGCCGATCAGGTTGGAGGTGACCATCAAGCAGAACCAATTCAAACCAGATGTAAGTAAACTATGGTTGTAATGTATTGTATTGTATTGTATTGTATTGTATTGTATTTGTGGGTCTTGGACTCCCTGTAAATCAGTGACCAAATTAAAGATTCACATTTTGGACTCCCTGTATCTCAAATCCTGGGGAAACCCTTCATTGTATTGTGTTGTGTTGTGTTGTGTTGTGTTGTGTTGTGTTGTGTTGTGTTGTATTTTATTGTAGAATTGAGGTTAGAATTGAATGTTTTTAAATATAGATTTCAGAATCTGTTAGATATAACATAACATCGAGGGTATAAGCCTTGTGATGTCTGAGTAAGAATATTATTTCATATTTTATACATTCTAATTCACAGACTGATGTCCATCTGATTTACAATGTGATGGACTTTGACGAGAGTGAGCCACAACTTTGGACCTTTGACATTGGAGCTTGCTATGAAACACTAAGCAAAGTTTATTTCAAGATAGAATTCCCAGGTGGGCAAAATTTAAATGGTAGAACATTGAGTTTTTACGTGTTGGCATATTTCAGTTTTACCATGAAAGATGATTTATATAGATAAGTATTTTTCATTATTAATTGCCAGTTTACCATTGATTTGGTGGTAGATTTGATAGATTGGTTGCAAAAAACTCACTGGTCAACCACTGGTTTTAGGACACAGTTTTGCATATGAACAGCTTGAATCAAATCAACCCATTTCTCCACATGGCCCAGTTTTAACGTTAAAATGGTAGATAAAATTATTATCTACTAATAATATTATTATATTTGTAGAAAAAGGNATATTGACACTGTGGCCAATGTAAGTCAATAATGGTAATTACTCTTTATCTTTTCAATGGAGAAAAATTGTGAATTTTAAAGATATTTATTTTTAAGGCATAGTCTCTGAAATTTACATTCCTCTTGAGTGATAGCAACAAAATCATAAAAGCAGGCTACCTTAAAGTACTATTCTATGCAGTAAAAGCACAACAAATGCAAAATAGAAATATAATTTTGTGATTATAAAAATATGAATCAGAAAGTTTGATAATTTTTGGCCATTGAAAAGATCAAATCATTATGGTCCATACTTGGGGTTCATATCCTTTGACATGCAGCTGTCTAAAGACATGTTGCTCCAATACAGAAATAAAAGGAAATTAGCCCCTGATGAAATAATGTCCTAACTTTTTATTGGATACAGTAGTACAACCTTTCTTGAATGATGTTAAATGAAGTTAAAATTATATTGAATTTGTGAATACCTAAAAGATAGGAAAGCAAATAAACATAAGATAAAAATGACTTTTATGGATATAAAAAGTTTATTACGCTTAGTGATGCTGAACAAATAGAATCAGGAATATGGCCATGGTATAGTTATATTGTAACAGTTTTACCTCAACCTTGATGTTAAATGCTTATTTTAAGGATACTATGAAAAAAAGTCTATCTTAAATATATTATTATGTTATTATTATTATTATTATTATTATAATTATATAATTATATTATTTTACAGGTGGTTTAAATATTTTCCTTTTTTTTTGTTATAGAGCTTCAATCTGTTTGCCTTACAAGATAAGTTGGTTGTTATACCTAGATACGCCAAGGGTTCCAAGCCCTCCACTGCTGGTAAGTTTCCTTAGAGTTCACTATTCAAATGTAAAAGTGAGCATTTAAGATTAACGATATTTTATGCTGAGGCCAAAATTACTCTTTGTCTTCTCCATCCCAGATTACCACAAACATTGATTTCATAGTCCATCTCATCCAAAAAAAAAAAAAAAAAAGACATCACAGAATATTGGTTGTTTGAGATTTGGCCAAACAAGGCTGCTTTTATTACAAACCCCCACAGACATGATGCTCCGTGATATAAGTCGGAGCATGTACCTAAAGTGAGACACTAACAGGAATTGAGCATGCACAGAATACACATGTGTGCAAATAATCTCTAGAGATAGTTGTCGCCATAAAATATTGTTGAAGAATGCCACACTTCCCTTTGTAGAATACCTGCACATATGGCATGGACATTGGATATATTTTATTCATTACTCCTGGGGGGGGGGGTTGAGTTATTGGATGATAACTTGACTTCACTCCTCCCAAACCTGTCAGGACACACTGAATGAGAAGAGTTCAGCAGAACACTACACTTTTAAGCACTTTACACTTTTAAACACTGAATGTCCATATTTTACAAATTCATCCTTAATAGAGGAAATTGACATTAACTCATGATATAACATACTGACAAATATTTAGCCATATAGTCATGTTACAGGATCTATTGACAGATTAATTTAATATTTTGGAATTGTGCCAGACATAACAATGCATTTATGAGTATAGGAAGAAAGGCACTGATTTAAAATGTTTGATTTTCTTTATGGTTTTGTCAAAAATTAATAGAGATATTTAAGAAGATTCAGATTGCATAAGTCTTTCATTTTTCAACTTTTTAGGTCCTGATCTTAGTGTTTGTGATCCTTCAAAAATTTACAATACACCAGGTAAGTTTGGCTGGTTTTAAGTCACAGAGAGTGAATTACTTTTAATTGATAAAGCCTTTAATCAGTGTATTATTTCATAAATTAGTTTCCAAAGTGGGGTTAAGAAATTCAGTTCAGTTCAGATAGTTTAAAAGAAATGAATTGTTGGTCAAGGAACTATTGGACATATGTTTACATTTCATCATATTTTTACAAATTTTACCTTTCTTGAAAATTCACTTTAAAAATTCAACTTTGATGGAATACAATGGTTTACTGTGGTATGTTAAAATTGCATATACTTTTAAGTGAAAAAAATTTAAAAAGTAAAAATAGTTTTAGCTTATTGCAAAAAGCGCTGAGATGCACCGGGTCCTGTAGTGTGGTACTTCAAGGATTATTGCAATAAAATGACAATTGCTATTATATTATTTTCAAAACTTTCAGGCCCATCATTGCCTGTGCTGCCAGATAAATTTTACACATCTGTCCAATGCAATCTATTCAACAAGAACAAGACGGTAGAGGTAGATGTGTGGTACGACTTCCAAGGCAACAGAGCCGCCATGGCCGAGTACCAGTACGATGACAAGCTGCTGATTATCTACAACTATGCAGATGATGAGATCATTGAAATAGTCACAAAAGAAGGTCAGTGTATTTGTAATACGTAATAGGTACACCATGAGTCAGAGAGGTATATGTTATATACACAAGTGTGAACAATGACCCATGCTGACATAATGGTGTGTCTGAACATAAGACATAGTGTAACTTGCGTTCATGTGTGACATCCATGTAAAGATACATTCCCAATAAAACTTTCATCCTACAAAGATCGATCCAACTCCATGGGGACTCTTGCTGAATAGAAGCTTTTTCACTTAGTTTTGTGTTACCAAATGCATGCGAAAGTTAATCACCCCCCAGCAGCTCAAGGAAATGTATGTGTCATTCAGTCAATTTGATTTCCCTTTAGATATAACACATTTGGGTCTTTTGTTCTCAACGTATGGTCTGGTATAATATAATTTTTTCATGTAAAATAATACTAAAGCAATATTTTTAAAAACTATTAAGTAACTTCATGAGATGAAGATCTTTTAGAAACACGAGTCCGATTATTTGATTAAATTTGATAATTTTCATATATTTTTTCATGAATATTTTCATGAACATTCTAGTTAAAAAAACAACTAAAAATGTTGTCAGTAGAGAGCATACGTCAGGTACAGCAAATTATTTCTCTTCAAAATCCCATGGTCTCTTAAACTCAAATCTTTCAGATAATGTATATTCAGCCGAGAAAACATTCATGTAAATTTTCTCTCCTTATTTACATCTATTAAACACCAACATTTCAGATAACCTATGCTCGGTTGAGAAAATCAGCACGTCCCAGTCAAGGCTTCTGTTTGGTTATAACACCACCAGTGGCAAAGCACACATCAATAACCCCTATGCAGTCTTTGCTTTTGGTGGAGATATGCAGGAGATGTATATGGGGAAGACTGTGGTGAGGGGAATGAAGACGGATCACTGGTATGGGTGCACATACAACCCCTATTCCAAGTACACTCTTAGTGTGGATGCGTACTTTTCAGGTAAACAAGGCTTTTGCCTGAGAGCCGTCCAGGACCCTGTAACTCGAAAGCATCGCGCATTGCGACTGAGCACAAGCGTCTCGATTCCATAACTTGCCCATACTCGCCCCATATGATACATTGTAGCATCAGTGTGATATCGCAATGCGCAATTCGCAATACGCAATGCTTTCGAGTTACGGGGCCCAGGTCCTGGTTTCACAAAAAAACTTAAGTCAGTTCACTGGCTTAGTTGACTAGGATTTCCATGAGAGTGCTGTTACACTACTCCTGATAGGGTAAGACTTGCCCTTGTAACCATTGTAATTAAGTTCTTAGCCGGGGAACTTGAGTTAAGTTTTTTTTTTTTTTTTTTTTGTGAAACCGGGGCCAGCCAACATTAAGACAGCCATTAGCCTCAAAAGATGGTCTATGTTTTCAAAGGCAGCTGTTCAGCTTATGAAATTCCGGGGTTGGGTGGTTGGGTTTGCTTTGGTTGGACTGCCTGTAAACTGATGACCAAATTACAGATTCACATTTTGGATTCCCTCTGCCCCAAATCATGGGGAAACCCCTGCATGTAAATATGGGTGTATTTATAATTAGTATCCTCTGATGTGGCTATGCTGCCCACATCCAGCAGGTATCATATATATCTATTTTTGATAGAATAATGACAGATTTAGATATTTTTGATACTAATTAAAGCATTTCTCTTATTTGGAATCATGTTTCTCTGTATGAATGTAGAAATGTAATTTGTGCGTATATTTCAGTGCCAATATTAAATTTGTGTAAAGGCTGTAAATTTTTGTTGATTTTAGAATATTGCTAAATAATGAAAAATGGAAAGAAAATTTGATATGTTGTCAAGTAATGGATACTGTAGACATTATATTTTGGAGAAATTTATTTTAAGAGACAGTTTCAGTAGATATTTAACTTTTCAAGTGTTAATGGATTCATATATCATGTGTTACAGACATTGCCAACTGGCAAACTCCTCTAGGCCCTGCCGTACCAGTACGTCTGTATATGCAAGGATCAGATCAGAGTGGACCCACACCGCGCTACTTTGAACACACATACGACTTCTCCAACTTTAAGCCGGCGACAGACTTCCCGTTTGGTGATGAGCCATTCCAGGTACATGTAACTGACTGGAGCAGGGTGTTTGAGATTGCCTGCTAGAGTGTGTGTGTGCGTGCGTGCGTGCATGTATGTATGCGTGTGTGTATGTGTGTGTGTGTGTGTGTGAGAGAGAGAGAGAGAGAGTGAGAGTGTGAGTGTGTGTGTGCCTAGACATCCAAAATATATATAATATATAATGATGAAGTGCTTGTAATGGCTGAGTGTCAATCTGAAGGTTAGAGTGCTTTAAGTTTTGGTTATCTTTGGGGCTAATCAGTTGCAGACATTTTATCAATTCATGTACTAACAGTAACAATTAGGGATTTAGTGAAAAAATGTATACTACTCTCTCTTTAGGTATCCAAGGGAGCAATTTGTCCAGGAAGAGTGCCTTAAGTTTCATTATCTCTGGGATAAATCAGTTTCAGACATTTTATCAATTCATGTACTAACAGTAACAATTAGGGATTTAGTGAAAAAATGTATACCACTCTCTCTTTAGGTGCCCAAGAGAACATTTTGTCCAGGAAGAGTGCCTTAAGTTTCATTTATCTCTGGGGTAAATCAGTTTCAGACATTTTATTAATTCATGTACAGTAAGAATTAGGGATTTAATGAAAATTCAATGTACACCTCTCTCTTTCTAGGTACCTAAGGGAACAATTTGTCCAGGAAGAGTGAACAACAAGCAGTTTCCACCACTGCCAAACTACTTTAGTTTCACATCAGAGGTGGTTGCTCCAGAGTCAAATACTACAAGTTTTCTTTACGTAAGTAACTAGTAACTGATAACAGTGGCTAAAAGTGCACATAAACAGAGATGATCTGTAAAGTTATTTCCTACATATTATTACATTTAATGCCATGTGTTTATTATATTTCTGTGTGATGCTGCTTGTTTTGTGAGTTGCATGGATTTTATGTGACACGTGCTAAAATGTCATCATTTCTAACAGGAATTATAAAAGTGTAATTAAAAAAAAAAAAAAGTAACTTTCATTCTTCAAACACAGTCCATTTATGAGCCTAATACCTAGCAATTTGGTAGGGATAATTAATATCTAAAATGTTTGAGAAAACTTCAGTTGTTTTGATTAATTCCATAGCTATATACAAGTATTAATTGCATTGGCAGTGATTTTTCTTTGATGCTAAATTGCAATATAAGACTTAGTTCTAGATTTGATAGAAGTGAAAATGTTTTCATTTCAGCAAGCTTATGACTATGGTGCCCGTTTGGTGCGTTACGACTACCGCGCTCTCCCTGGTGATGGGAATCCCTTTGGTAACAATCCACTATCAGAGGTCCATGACTTTAATACTGGTAAATGTAATTTTTATACATAGTTTGCCCACCCACACACACACACACACACACACACACACACACACACCTTTACAGAGAGAGAAGAGAGAGAGAGAGAGAGGGAGAGGGAGAGAAATAAAAAGGGAAAAAGAGAGAGAGAGAGAGAGAGACGTAATAGTTTAACTACCATAGTGTTTTTAACAAAGATGTTCTTACGTAACTTGATTTGCAACTATTATCTCCAATCCGAACTACTATGCATTTTTACATTTTTCTACATCAACTACTAATTCATCACAACAGTACATATAGTATTCTTGTTCAATCTTTTT